TAATCAATGTAAGCAACACACGATGAAAGATTTAATCTAATGTTATATATGAATATTTTTTTATATATAAAGACTTATAAATATATATTATTCCATTAAAAAAAAATTATCAATTTCGATTTGTTTGATTTTAGACTTGAGGGGGCTCACGTTGTTTGCCCTGGGAGTGGTGTGGCTGCTACTGAACGCAGGTGCAATATTCCTGTGCATGTGGCTGAAGATGAGGCTAGCACGTGGTCTCGAAAGGTGCTTGGCCAGGGTCAATAAGCAGCTTATGAGGCACAAACTAGTCGTGGCTTTGGACGATCGAGGAAGAATATCATGTCATAAGGTAATGATATATGGCATATATACTAGGGGGTGAACTATGGGACAAAATATAAAAACGTGTTGAATCTAACTCAGATAACGTATGTCTAAAAATTATATTAAGGTCTCGTTCACTAAACAACAGTGCTCACAACAAAAAAAAACAATGAAAGAAAAACTTTTGTTATAGATTTTCAAACATTGTCGTTTTTCTTCCTTTAGCAACGTCGTAAGAATAAAAGTAATGACTGGTTATACATCTTTTTCCTTTTACCTTGAAAAATATTGTTCTTACAAAATTCCTAATTTCACTTGTTTTTGTGATATCGGTGGTGGACCTTTTTACTCGCGGACTTATAAGCCCCGTTCTACCCTATTCTATTATATATATATATATATATAATGGTGGAGTTATTTTGGAATATTTTTACTGGTTTAAAATTAATACAATAATTAAATTTGAATTATTTAGAACAATGGAAACGTATTTTAAGATAAGTAAATTTTCCATTTACATCATGTAAAGTTACTGTTAAAGTATGAGCTATAAATTATCTTATATTTTATTATTATTATCCAGGGCTTGATTTGCCTGTTGTAATGTTGAATTGTTTTCAAAAATATTCACTTAAATAATATTCTTAATAAATGTAATTTATTATAATTTTTCCATCGCATTTTATTTTTACAAAACAATGACTAGTATAATCATACTCTATAATTACTTAAGTATTTGTTCTTATCTAAAATTGCAAGCTTGCACTGACGAGTATCGGTTATCAGAAAAAATTAAACACGGCTTATCTTGAAGTTAAAGTAATTGTTTTTTAAACCTTTTAAGGTGCATGAACAATAGTGTTATTTTCTAGAGTGTTTATGATAATTTCCATTGTATACCAACATAGTTCTACAGTACGTAAACAGTTATTGCATGATAAACTGTGAAAGCTTGTTGCCAAATTTCGTTTATTAAATGTAATTTAATATAGTTAAAATGTAAAATAATTCAAATATTATTTATTACAATATATATAAAAAATACTTTTTTATTCTTATTTTTGAACCACAATGAGACCTTAATAGTTCTAAGAGCTGTGATGATACTTGTCTTCAACAACCTCGTTTTTAGAAATCTAAATTTGATATGTTTTTTTATTATACAAAATACCTTCAAATCATAATGAAACCGTAGTAATTGTGGATATTAATGAATGAATTATTTTATTTTCATGTCAACTATAGAAGATTAATTATTACAAGACTCTGAACTTTTTACCACATATTAAATATATGCCTAAAAACCCTTGTCTTAATTGAGTATTGATATGTATTTGGTATTCAAAACCCATGAATATTAGCTTATTTGTATGAAAAATTATATCTTGAATGAATAGTTTAAATTATGCATTAATATCTTATTCATAGATAATTATCTATGTATCTGATAGTCTGATACATGATATATGATGATATTGTATCATCTACAATTCTACATTATTACAATACATGAAGAATCTCTATAAATCATTTTGTCGGTGCTTATGTGAAAAATTAAAAAAGAATAGTATTTAACAACACAATATTTTTATTGCGTTATTTAATGACATGTATTTTTACCATTTGTGTATGATTATCAATATTTAATGAATATTTTTGAGTTTTCAAACTCTATTATAAACGTTTTGTTCTACATCTATTTTGTTCTAAAGTTAAAGAGATTTTTATTATATTGAGTCAATTGATAAACTATTATTCATATCAGGATATATCGATGTATACAATATAATATATTATTTATATATCTATAGATACTAATTGTAAGTAAAAATCGGGTACTGATTGTGAGAAATCATTTTTAGTATTAGTAGTATCTACTATAATTAGTAATTATATTTTTCTAATAGGATATATTATATATCCTAATAGAAAAATTATGAGAAATCATTTATTGTGTTATTAGTACCTACCACAATCTGCAATTATATTTTTCTAATAGGATATTTATATAATTATGTCCTATTAGAAATATAGGATATAATATATTATTATATGTGAGAAATTATTTCTCACAATCAGTACCCGCTTTTACTGAAATACTGAAAACAACTATCATTATCATTATATATCAATATTCGACTAAATAGATATATTATATCTTATTTAGTCGAATATTGTTATATAATGATTATGCTGTTGTTTTCAGTATTACATGCTTAATTATTGATTGCATTAATTAAATCGGTAGAAAACATACAATTGTACTTACAAAAATGTCTCTAAATTTATCAAACTGCGAAATTATCTTTGTCTTTGATTGCACATTAATTAATTGACAAATGTTCAAATGTCGAATTATTAATCATAAGTATTCGGGTTAATGGAAACTCGGATTTTGCGAGAACCGGCCATCCGATTAGGATTAGAATGATTAAAAAAAAACTCATTTCGTATTGATGGGGAGACATGCTGATTAGTTTTTTCAGCCATTTCGGAGTTACCGAACAAAAACGAGCAAAAATAGCAGTTATAATAAGAAAAAATCTTCAACATTTTGCTTGTATTTGACACTGAGAAGAAGTTATTAGTTTTTGGGGAAGGCAAAAAAAAATCTTTAATTTCAAAATTTAATTTTTTTTTAATTTCTATTTATATAAAATGATTTTTATTTCATTTTTAATTTAAGTTAAAACTTTTAAAATTTCTCGCATGTACGGGAAGTTTCAGCAATTTGCCTTAAGGCATTATACCATGCACCGCTAGTCAGTATTCAGTTTCAACAATTACAATAATAGATATTATTTTTTCACAGGTAAACTTATGTTTCATGTATATGGATGCTGGTCCATGCATAGCTCACCTTCAAGGTGTAATAGAGAGAGAAGAGCAGTCAGGTGCAGGTCATGGTGTCGGCTGGGAAGGCCGGATGGATGTTACTGCCAGCGATATTGTCATTCAGGGCAGTACAACTACAAGACTTAGTCGGAAACAGGTAAGATAAATTTAAATAAGTAAAATATTTTACTTCGTGAAAAATATTTTTTAATTCAGCCAAGTGTGGCAAGTGCATGATATGATTGGTGTTGCATGATATTATTGGATTGGAAAAAAAACTCTGTTGCCTGGCACGATTTTTTGTCTGTTAATCGCGAGGTCGATTATATTTACATTTTTTTAAAATACCAAGAAAATTACTCGTATAGAGTATATATCCATAATTTAATTTTTGCGAGTTTTATCTACTATACCAGCAATACCTAATGTGTTATTTATATTAATCATATTAATATATGATTGATAGACGTAGTTCATCAGGAAAAAATTTACTTTGTTAATAATATCTTATGATAAAATTGGTGATGGAACGAATTATATTATCATTATTACATAAATATGACAATTGAACTGAAAAAAAAACAGAATAAGTAGAATACAATCGCAATACACCTATAACTTAGAGTAATATCAATTATAATTTTTAGCGAATGTATAATTGAATGATACATATGTTTAATTAAGCTTTTTTAATTATAATACCTCAAAGTTCCTTGAGAAGGAAACATATATATTTATAGGATTAAAATTAACAAAGCTCATTTAAAATTCAATGTGGATTAAATTATGCATTCATTAAAAATTATAATTGATAAGGATAACTGTGAATACTTTATAGGTGCGTATGGTTGCATATTGATCGACTAAAAATTATGAATGAATTTTACTACCTTATTTTTCGTGATTATACTACTATTGCATTTAAAAGCTCTTCTAGTTTGAAAAATCCAATGATTAAAAGCATACTTGAATCGTGTGACATCTTCGAGCATATTCTGGAATATATTGTTTGTGGAATCATCTTTATGAAATACTCTATTACTTAAAGATCAAAGTATAATCAATTAGAACATTTTCTGAACGTATAATTTAATTTTTAGTCGATTTAATTTTTCAAAAATAAAAGTGAATTTTTTCATGGTTTTAATTAGTTAAAAAGTGTATAAATGTGTAAAAAAATATTTGTTTCTGAAGTAAGGATCATTCTATATCTTCGAATCGTAGAAACAAAAATGGAGACTCTTTGCTCAAAATAATAAAATCATAATATGTATATATTTAAAGCATCTTAAAATCCTATTTGATACTAGAGAATATATATAAATCTACGTTTTGTATTTGCTTTGGGTATTGGTAAAGTAGTTACTTGCATGTTCTCCGAATTATACATAAGTAATCTTGCATTGCGTGATGACTATGAATATTTTCAAGGAATGGAGCACTCATATCTTACGATATCTCTGAATAACAGAATTTATATATGAGAATGTTCATAGATTATTCATTTTTCATTTTTTGAAATTTTACTTTTTGCTTATAGCTGGTGAAGGTTTTCTCATAGTTAGATATTTTTATTGCATTTTTTAATTTACAATCCAACTTATATTATGGATAACATAAATGCAATAAAATAACAAAAAAATTCAGTAAAAAGTAATGTTCCCATTGAAACGCCTTCCATATGAACAAAATTAATATGTAAAGTTTATACGGTTTAGATCAAATAAATTTTTACTTGATATCTATGATTTTTTTGCCAATTGGTCCATCAAATATGTATTATGCTTCTACATACAAGTTTAGTGCAGACTATTTTACCTGAAGAACTTTTGATATCTATTTTTTTATAAATGTAACAAAGGGCAATCAGGACATTCTATAAGCCATTGGAATATATTATTGGTTCCCATTTTTTCTTCTTTATAAAATTTTCATTCAAGGATTGAGTGAGCTAGACCTGTTACTTCATTCTATATCAGATACTTGAATAGGATATTTATAAACCTTTATGTGCATGTTTCCATTTGTAAAAACTATATTTTCACTTTGGTTTCTTACTCGCACGATATTTTTTATTTAACTTTATTTATTATTGATGGAATGAATTTTGTTTTTATGGAACTTTGTTTATTATTTATGGAATGTATTTTGTTTTTATGGAATGAGGCTACTCAATTCGGTATCTCTATTTCTATAACTTCTTCCACTTTTCTGGGATGACTGGTGTCACTATAGCGCGTATCTTTTAAAATATATTTTTTAAACATTTTTAAATTCTTGCATTTATATTTAAATCAATTTACATATTCGAAATTCGCCTGTTTGAAGTATCGTGATTTATTACAATTTTGATCAAAAACCAGTTTTCTCAAAGTGCAAGTGATTCCAGTGACCGAAATGTGAAAAGAAGTGTGTAACTTATTACTAGGTAAGTTGAGTAGCAACTTGATTTATTTTTATTATATTTTGGAATTTATATTTATTTTATAATTTAATTTTTATTTAACATTTGTCGTAAAATGTTTGTTATTGTTGTTGTTAGATTTATTGCATGCAATCATTTTTGTGTGAGTCATTAATCTTATGTTGTATCATTATAAATTATTGTTTTTTGGGCTTGAAATTCAAAACTCATGCAATACATATTGTGTGAATTGCAAAGTTATTTATAGCATTACATACTATAGACATGAATATGCCTTGAAAATCATATAAGTTATGTTTAGTAGAGTAAAGTGATCAAATACGGAATGCTTTATTTATTTTTCAAACTCATTCATTTTCAACTAATCATTACCAAAATCATTTCTAAAAAAACCCGGCAAATATATTATATAACATATACTTCAATTATGATGTATTAGAAAAATGGCAATGTAAATTCAAATTAGAATTTGTTTACCAGAATTGATTTAATGGCAATTATAACTAATTTATGTTTTAATTGATATATAAACATAACGAAATTTAAGTTTTAAGTTCTATATTGAGCCACAGAAAGGATTTTATCTTTTCAATTCAATTTTAAAGGATTTAACTGGATAACTTTACTACTCGGGTTCTGATTATAGTATAAAAGTTTTATAAGTAAATCGCATAACATAAATTTTAATACGATAAATTTATATATGCTTAACTAACTATTAATATTTTATAGTTCAAGTTTATTAACACTAATTTCTAGATTTTTCTAACTTATATTCATATTTTACCTAATAATCTAATGACAAAAAAACATTAAAATCAAACTTCAAATAAAAACATATGCATTTTATTCTAAATTACTTTTGAAAAATATTTTTATGATTTACATAAAACATTCAGAATGCACTTCGCCGAATTTCGTATAACATATGAATTAATTTTTTTTCAAATTTGGCCGCATTTTCTTAATTTTTGTGCCCGATAATATTCAGTTTTAATAAATACTTGTACAATTTACTTTTAAAAATTACTCTGGCGATTTCCCCAGAATATTCTTTGCTTGATTTTTGCATAAAATATGATTTTTTTTTCATATTTGGTCAATTTTCTATCATTTTTGTGCCTGCATTTGGAAAATATTTATTTTTTATTAAAATTTTTCATCAATAAGTGAGTTAATATTATGATTACAATCACGGTGGATTAGTAGCTATTTTGTTAATAAATAAAATAAGAGTAAATAAAACTTTATATTCGAGGGAGAAAAATATTCATTCTCCAACAAAGTTATTACTAAATAATATTGGTTAACCAATTAACGTAAAACAAATTAGTGATTTTCATAATTGATTACTAGTATGACCAACTTTTTAATATGAGTAATTATTTGAGTAAAACATTTGAAAAAAAAACATGCGTCAATACATTTAAATATATTAAATTAATGTATTTATATTATATTTGAATAATTTATTTTTTGAAAGTATAGTCGACTGTAGTAGGGGAGACTGGGTACTGTAGTGACAGTCGTCATAACAGCTAAACTATACTGATTTTGAGATAAGATTCAAAGGGAGAAAGATGAAGCTCTTTTTTTGTATGATTTGATTTTATGACTTATACATCGTATTTGAGGATAGTATTTCAGTTTTTCCACGTAGACAAATGTTCAAATTACGAATCAATTTACTTTTCTTCCAGCTAACTGGTACATTAACAAAATTATGGTTGACCAAAAAAGTGGCACAACCGTACCCAGTCTCTTCTAATATATAATTAATTATTTTAATTTATATTCATTTATGGTATTATTAGATTATAAAATACCCAAAGCTCCCAAGTAACATATCTTTTCTTCAGGGTTTGGCCGAAGAGGCGTTGATGCGCTATTTGCAAAGATGGGGCAAAGACTATCTCCGCAGAAGATTAGATTGGACAGTAGATGAAGAAGGAGGGAATCCACCAAATCCAAGACATTTGCAATCTGCCTTGTGTCCATGCCAATATGTCCAGGAGCTGATGGCCGACAAGGCTGCACGCAGCAGGGACAAAAGGGACTGCTGCCCTTGTTGCGCATCTTGGCTCCGGACAAGAGGAGTAGACTGACGACGACGTAGTAAATATTGACACTTGGGAAAAGATTTGGTATCTTTTATTAAGTCCCGAAAGAAATTATTATATACTCAAAAGGACACAAGCACACGAGATCTGAATTTACCGGTATATTTGAATTTTTCTGGTCCCAAAGATTTCTGCTTGAAATTTTCAACCATTAAATTCAAATTAAATGTTATCGGTTAAGTATATAAATAGACAAATTTCTTTTCGAAGTCATTAGTAGATTTCTGGATTTTTAGCAAATATTCTTTCGTGTTATCGTAAAAGTTTGATACCGTTGCATCTTCATAATGAACACATATAAAATTTATTTTGGTAACATTATTTCAAAATTATTATGTTAAAAAAATTCTTCAAAACGTTTTATTCTAAGTTGCCATTTTTTTTAATGAATCAAATATACTGCACCGATTATAATCATAATAATAGTTATCAAACCTCTAACGTAACAATCTTTAAAAATGTAATATCCTTTTTAAACAAAAAAGAAGTAATGCAAAAATTTAAATCACATTACTTAAAATACGATATATTTTTACTTTTGACCCCATTTTTGAAGGGCTTTGATACCACAAAAGATTTTTGAAAAAATCCAAATCTTTATATATTTCTTAAAATTGCCATTTTTTATTTGTCGTTGAATATCCCTAAAGATCCGTTGCGCTTCAGTTAAAATATTACAAACTGCCTTATTTTCACGAACATTTTAATAATTTTTACTCATAATATGATATATTACATATTACAACCTCGTTTTTATTATTGTTCATTATTTTTGCGTCATTTTATTAGAACTGTTTTACTACATGAAGGTTTATCAAAAGTCGATAAAAGTCACAAGATTCAATTTAAATTTATAAGACTAATTTGTAATATAATTTAATATAAGAATCTCGTATGAATAGTTTATTTGGAAAGTACTTATTTTTGATAAATATTTATCATATTATAGACTTTATTTCATTTCAATTATATTAAGTATTTAATAACATAGTTTTGTTAACTTATTACTTGTTCCTATTAAAGTGAAAATATATGTAAATATATAGTCGATCTAAAATAAAATCTTACTATTAGAAAAAGGTTTTGGGAAGCATTTTTAATGATAAAAGACACGATATATGGACCTTATTTTAATTGCAAAAATAAATTTATAATCAAATTTTTATTCTTAATCTCGTATATTCTTTAGACTTATTGAGATCAGATGAAATTCTCACCTTTATAAAGTTAAAAATTAATATTTCAATATTATTTATTGTATGGTACTATACTATAGTGTACATGTGTAATGAATAAATGTCTCCTATTTAGGTTTCAAAAAAAAAACATTTGGTAAAAATATATAAAGATATTAATGCATATCAAGCTTAACCTGCAAATATACAATTTGTACATATAGCTAAACATATAATATATGTATATATTAACACATAATTTATCATACTGAACATTAGTAAACAAATTAATTTACTTAATAAAAGCATTTTAATTTAGTTCAAACGCAAATATGTTGATACTTTGAATAATTTTGCAAAATAATTTAAAATGAGCTAAGTTAGCTATAAGGTAACTCCTTTAAATCTGATCAAAATTTCACGTGCTAACGCCCAAAATATGTAATTAAGCTTAAATAAATTAAATATATTCATTTAATGTTTATGTTAGAATCTTATCTTATTATACATGTTTATTGTAAATAACAAATATTTTTGAGTTTTTATTATTAAAATATTATATGGACCATATTTATATAAATATATCGTTTTTGTATAAAAATAATTTCCCTATAAATATTGTTAAGATGCACATGATCAAATTACACTCATATAAGAGAACCATTCCGTCCAAAAATTGTTATTGTATGTTAATATAATATATATGTTGTAAATTTATAAATAAAATATTGATAAAAAGTTGTAATCAATTATAATATTACAATACTTTTTACTTTTATAGCTTAATAAATGCATAGCTAAGTTTTAATATTTTTTTATGAATGAAGGTTCTTTTCGCAAACTTATTGTTTTCACCCTCCCGAAGTTTATGTTTTTGCCAGAAAATCCGATTTATCTCGAAAATTTCGACGATTCAAGTCATTCTAAATCGTTTGTCACCGAAATTAGAAATAGTGTCTATTTATATATGTATGTATAGTTTTGAAACGGTACCGTTGCACCAATTTCAAAAATTAAAAAACAACATGAAACTCGATAAAGACTTGCATCGATTTGTTTTGCGGGAAAATCGGCCGAACCATTTCTTTAGAATTAACAGATATTTTCAAAAAATCGTGTTTACGTTTTCACTAAGACACCTGGACCGATTTTGAAAATTCAAAAACTGTTCGAATAATATCAGCTCTGAATTATGCTTATTTTTTCGCGTTGATTAGTTTTTGGTAAAGATTAGCCGGATCTTTAAGATTTGTGAATTTTTTTTATAATTTTTTTTTAATTATGATAAAGTCTATGTCGGTATTACCGAAAATCCTAAAATATTGTAGACCTACAAAAAATGGATTGATTACAAAAAATTATTAGCATCATAATTTATTCTATTCTTATTTATTATTCACACATATCGGGAGTTCGTGCAACTTGCCTTAAGACAAAATGCTACAAGTCTAGTTATTTTAAAATAACTGGATTAACTGGGCTAACAATTGTTATTTTAAGTAATTTAAGTCAAAAGAATAATACAATTATTTATTTATTTCTTTCTTTATTTATTTATTTAAATACATAGCCCACAGATTTCTCCAAGAGGACTCAAAAATACAATTATTTTACATAATGAATAACAATTAAAATATATACAAAATTACAATATATAGTTAGTAACATAAAATGCTTAAGATAAAATTACATATAATGCAGAATGTAACAATAATATTTATAAACAGAATGAGAAAATAATGAGATATTTGAAAAGAAAATAAAAAGATTAACTTGTGCAGATGGAGATTATTTGATTAGGTGAAGTGTTGTAATATCTATTTCATTATTAATTAAGTTAAAGTTAGAGGACATAAGTAAAATTGGAATATAAGTAATTATAAATTAAATTATAATGGTTTTTCATGATACTAAATAAATTTTTAGTAAAATTGGAATGAAAATTAAAAAATAATATAATTTTATAGAATAATATATCGTTTTCATTAACTTCCCGTAGGGCAAGTTATAGCAATCGCAAAAAATCGAAATTGAAAATTCTTATATATTTTTACGTTTCAAATGTTTCTGAACATTTTGGCATACGTCAGAAAAAATGGATGTATGTGTGTGTGTGTGCGGATACAAATTTTCGTCGACGATTTCGGGAACACGGATCAACCGATTTGAATAATTCAATAAACATTCGATTTGCATTGATAAGGAGACGTGCTAATTAGTTTTTGGCGAAGGCAGGTCTAGCCGTTCCAAAGATCCGGGGCAAAAAGTGCCAAAAACGGTAACGAAGTTTTCGAGAGAACGGAGCGTCCGATTTTAATAATTCAAAAAAAAAATTACTTGTATTGATAATATGAAGAACTGATTTTTGGGAAGACAGGTCCAGCAGTTATGGACTCTCAATAAAAATAGGTTAAAAAATGTCATTTGGCGGTCAAAAATGTTTATTCGACTTATGCACATCAAATTATCAGATATTTTATAGAGATTTTCATAATGTGTACATATTTTGTGTAATTTTTTTCGGGTTTCGTACCAAGATTTTTAATTACGGTACGGAAAGTTCCAGCAATTTCCCTTAAAGCACGATGCCATGGTAGGGTGCAGTTTATAACATATTTAGTGCCAATAAAATATGTAATGATAGTTTGTAAAAATTACGGAGTTTTTAGAGCGACCAATCACTTCGATCTCCAATAGAAAAACAGAAATGATAACTTTTTATTTTATAAGTATTTTTAGGACCAAATATGATAAAGTCGTCATAGATTTATTCGTGTATATAAATAAATGTTAATATTTGAATTTATCAAATAAGAATATTTAATCTTATATTGAAATCACTAAGTAGGTGGACTTGGTTTTGGTGGCATTGGGTATAAGTCATCTTCTTAAAATAAAATTGTAATTAGCGCAGGTGATAAACGATATCTAGCTAATAATAGATTAATTATAAAAAAAACTAGTGGGGCGCATGGCATCGTGCCTTAAGGCAAATTGCTGGAACTTCCGGTTCCAAAAAATATTTTTCTTAAAAAGATTAACATTTTTGAAAAGAATTTACTTTGAAAAAAATTGATTTTTGACACACACACATACACATATACATACACACATACATCCATCTTTTCTAAGGTATGCCAAAAACCTCTGAAACGTAAAGATTTTTGCATATATGCAAAAATTTTCATTTTCGATTTTTTTGCGATTATTATAACTTACTCTACGGGAGGTTAATATTTCTCAATTTTTGAACAAGTAGCATTTATTTATATCAATTAATTCTTTTAGGAGCGGTGCGCCCTGCTTTACCTGCGCTACGCTTCTCGCTGGGGACGCCTTGCGTTGTCAGGTGACCTGGACGTAGGGCCGACGGCCGGTTCCCGTCATTGCGCTACCTTCCGCTGCCCGTGCCAGTACATCGAGGAGCATTTGCACTGCAAACCTAGAGGCAAGTTCTTACCAAGTAGATGCTGTCCAAAAAAGGGAATGTCAGAGACTTCTACTAATTGAGGATGAGGTGTGTTGTGTCGTGTTCATCTAACAATGGTATCCACACATTCATTCAAGTAGTATTAGTAGATTTATTTTTGTAAATTGTGTAAAACCTATTTATATAGTATTTGGCGGTTTGAATAGCAAATAATTGGAACTAGCATTTCTTTATTCTTCGTCAAAATTAAAAAGTTAACAGCAGCGTTACTTCATATTTATTGTGTTTTATCATATGTTAATATTTTTACAAAAATTCATACTTAACAATTTACAAAAATAAACAACAGCATTAAATGAATTTATTAATGACAATTATTGAAAAAAAAATCAATAGAACTCACACTAGTATTTAAAAATCAATCTAACTAATAATTACATGATATTTGGCCCATAACAACCCGACTTATAATAACCCAATGGTAGTCGACCATTGTTTGACCTGGCGGGTAACGTATGGGTCTAAACCCACTGGGTT